AGTCGTAAATGGAATAAATTGTGAAGATCCTGACATTTGACTGGTAAGACTATAATTTTATAGACGAACCAATCAGATTTAGGATAATAGGCCTTAAATTTTGGCGCGAAATTCACTCACCCATTTGGCAAAATAACATCTTAGCATTTTAGCTAATGTTAGTTCGTGATGAAAAAACTGTAAATCTAATTCCTAAACCTAACCATCAGCTGTAAATCATAATCCTTATTCTTCAAACTACTTTAAAACCCTCATTTAGCCCTAGTAAGTAGGTAAACACTCCCAAGGTTACTTTGACATCACTCAAAGGTCATCCTTAAATTATAATCTCACTAATCTATAATTTATTTTATTAATAATTACCAATTGTTTGTATAGATAGTTCTTAACAATAACTCGTGAAATCATGACTTTGACAAAGTATTCTGAATAAGATAGTTCTTTTAGATTACACTAGACATAATGTTTTCTATAACTATGGTTCCATTTAAAAAGATTTATACATTGCTTGGTTATTAATGTGATAGACTGGTGATGAGAAGTCAGTATGTTAAATATATCATCTAGTCACTATTTATTATCTTTGCTCATTATGATACATATGTTTTAAACGATAACCAGGGTTACAGCAATTCATTTTTTCTGTTATCAATATCAGAGGAATTTCAGTGATCAATTAGTACAAATTTGGTGACAATAAATATTCATCGATTTTATGTACTCTTTCATAGCATGAAATGAGTTACAAAACTTTAACAGAGATTAATTATTAAATTTTGATTTCAAAAACTCAACTATTACGAAATGTACTGTCCCTGTCATTATTGAATATTATCAATCTAAACAAATCAATGAGATATACGGATGTCTGTAGAACACCACCCAAATACTAATGTTTAACCAATACCAATTTTTGCAAAGGAAAGGGAAACATGATTTTCACACTGATACTAATATTTTATTCAAATTTTGTTAATAAACAGGAATTCTATTTAATTTTATACATTCATTTATCGAACAGAACATCGGTAGTTGAAATTGTATTATCATATCAACTCATCTATCTGAAATTGTCCTCCAGCTTATCGGTTCATCAGTTAATTTTCACCATCATTCAAAAATTTTGCTTTTCTCTATTTTTCTATTCAGTAATATTAATGATTTTCATTTTCCTAATTAATTTAACACAATTTATTGTTGTATGATATCATTGATTTTATTTGTTCAGGGTAACATTATCTATTTTTCTTAATAGAATTATGCCGTATACAATTACTTAAAATTTTTGAATTGCAATGAAAGCAAATTACATACTCAGATGTGAAACAACATGAGATTATAAATTGGTTTATTCATAAAGGTATATCCAAGACGCGCGTTTCGTCCTATTCGGGACCCGTCAACTTGATGTACCTGCATCTCAGAGTTGATTTTCACTCAGGGACTCGAACTCATTACCGTTCGCTTCAAACGCCATTGCATTATCCACTTAGGTACTGAGTCCAGATAGCTACTAAATTACGCAAGGAGGATGTTTGTTGTTTAGTAAATGATCCATATACATGAACTTTAATGAAGAACTGTTGGGGACGATAGATCCCCAAACTCATATTTTTAAATTTTATCTTACCGATCATCTTATTGATTAAATGTTAGATATTTTTATTGGGGTCAATTGATGAACTATCGATTAAATGAGCAAATAGGTCAGTTGATGAACTATCGATTAAATGCGCAAATAGGTCAATTAATGAACTCATTGATTAATGTTTAAAAATTTTCTATGACAATATCGATTGTAAATAATTGTATAAATACGCTTTGACTTGTATGCTTGATCTGATCTGCCTGCCTGACTTGTTATCTGCTGTTTGTCTGTAGAATACACTTTCTACACCTTACCCAGACTTCTTGATCGAGTTAGCAGAGTTGGGGACAACGGACCAGAATACACTATCGAGATTCTGAATCCTTGATCCGATCGATAAGTCACTGTCTTATAATCGGCTGTCACTTTGAGACATAACAAATTGGCGACGGTGGTTTTTCGATTATTGACCCTACCGAACTTGAACTGTTACTTGAGCAGCAGCTAAAATTGATGCAAATGTTAATGGAGACCAAGGTTACGCCTCCCTTACAGCCAAGCACGTCTAGTTCAACCACGGCACCATCAGTAGATGGCATCGCAAATAGCATAGCTGAATTTCATTACGATCCTGATTCTAATGTTACTTTTGAAATGTGGTTCAGGCGTTATGAAGATCTATTTAAATTTGATTTCGCCAATCAAGATGATGCTTGGAAAGTGCGGCTGCTACTTCGTAAACTGGGTGCAAATGAGCTGGACAAGTATTGCAATCTGATCTTGCCGTTGAACCCACGTGACCGATCATTTGCAGACACAGTTCAAACATTAATCCAACATTTTGGCGATAACTCGTCACTGTTTAATACTCGTTATCGTTGCTTGAAGCTAACTATGAACGAAGATGATGATTTTCTTACGCATGTGGGCGTCGTCAACCGTGAATGCGAACGCTTCCGGTTAAAGTCCTTGACTGAAGATCAGTTTAAAGCCCTGATCCTTATTTGCAGCCTACAGCACCAAAAGTTCAGTGACTTACGAACAAGGCTACTAAGTCGTTTGGATCAAGAACCGAAACTCACCCTGAGTGATATAGCTAATGAATATCAACGTCTCATTAATCTTCAACGAGACACTTCTATGGTTCAGAGTGGTGGTTCTAGCCGATTTGAAGTACGAGCGGTGCAACAGACACCTCACAAAATCAAACACGTCCCCGCTTCATCCAGTCCATCTCACTCCAGCTCTAGACGACAGACTAAAGCAACTCCTCCTGCTCCTTGCTGGCAATGTGGTGCATGGCACTACGTTCGAAACTGCCCATTTAAACAACATCGATGCAAGAAGTGTAAGGTTATCGGTCATAAGGATGGGTTTTGTATGAGGAAGAAGACTCCAAGTCAATCAAGAAATACCAACAAGACCCGTCCTAGATCCCGCACCAGTTCATTGAGCTTAGTATCTTCGTGTCAAAGCTCATCACCAAGTCAGAGAAAATTTATTACTGTTAACATTAATGGGCATTCATCTAAATTGCAAATAGATACAGCATCAGATGTCACTATCCTCTCTCGTAAGACTTGGATCAGAATGGGCAGCCCAAACTTGCAGCATACAACGCAAAAGCCTCGTACTGCCTGTGGTAATTACCTTCACCTGCTAGGAAAAATGGAATGTACAGTTACCTTCCGTGATTTGGCATTTGTTGGGGTATGCTACATAACCCCAGCTGATCTAAATTTGCTCGGATTAGATTGGTTTGATCACTTAAAATTAGCTGATGTCCCGTTGAATACCATATGCAACCTGGTATCACAACCACAACTGCGACAACAACCACATGACTTCGAATCATATACGAGCACCCTAATGACGCAGTTTTCAACTATTTTCCAGCCTGGATTGGGTCGCTGCTCTGTCATGAAAGCAACACTTCGATTGAAAACTGGGGCTAAGCCTGTTTTTCGCCCAAAGAGACCTGTCCCTTATGCAACATTACAAACAGTAGATGAAGAATTGAACCGCCTTCAACAACAAGGAGTTATCACTCCCGTTTCCTACTCTGCATGGGCAGCACCTATCGTGGTTATTAAGAAGGCCAACGGCACGATACGTATATGTGCTGACTTTTCAACAGGTCTCAATGCAGCTCTGGAACAACATCATTATCCCTTGCCTGTTCCCGCAGACCTATTTACCATGCTGAATGGGGGAAGATTTTTCGCTAAGCTGGATCTAGCTGATGCTTATTTGCACGTGGAAGTAGACGAAGCATCAAGAGAGCTGTTAACTATCAATACTCATCGTGGTTTGTTCCAGTATAACCGTCTACCTTTCGGAGTCAAAACTGCACCATCTATTTTCCAACAATTAATGGATACCATCCTATCAGGTATCTCGGGAGTCACGGCTTATTTGGATGACATTTTAATTGTAGCAACGACATTAGAACAACTACGAGAACGCACGACATTGGTACTGCAACGCATCAGTGACAACGGGTTCCGGTTACGCCCAGAGAAATGCCAGTTTTATTTGCAGTCGGTAAAATACTTGGGGTTCATTTTCGATGCCGACGGCCGCAGGCCGGATCCTGAGAATATCCGAGCTATCAAACTGATGCCCACTCCCACTAATGTCTCGGCACTACGTTCCTTCCTGGGACTTGTCAGCTATTACTCAGCGTTCGTTCCATCGATGCATGATATTCGCGCTCCACTCAATAGCTTACTGCAGAAGAACAGCTCTTGGAACTGGACAAAACAGTGTGACACTGCCTTTTGTAAACTGAAGTCCATTATTAGTTCTGAATTGCTGTTGACACACTACGATCCAGCCATGCCGATCATCGTAGCTGCAGACGCTTCAGCGAATGGCCTAGGCGCTGTTATCTCCCATCAGTTTCCGGATGCGTCGGAAAAAGCCATTATGCATGCAGCCCGTACACTAACCCCAGCAGAAAAAAAATACAGCCAGATAGAAAAAGAAGCGCTTGCACTTGTGTTTGCAGTACGCCGTTTCCACAAATTCTTGTACGGTCGAAGATTTACTCTTCTCACTGATCACAAGCCTCTTCTCACAATTTTCAGTTCGAAATCTGGTGTTCCAGCCCATTCTGCAAACCGTCTCCAACGATGGGCTTTGATACTTCTGGGTTATGATTTTGACATTCAGTATCGGCGCACTCAACAGTTTGGTCAGGCTGACGCCTTGTCACGACTTATCAGCGAACACCATACGGCCGGCGAAGATACAGTTATTGCCTCCCTGATGACCGAGGACTACGCGCAGTGCTACCTGACAACTGGTATTCGTGCCTTGCCAGTCTCAGCAGCTGAAATACAATCTGCATCCAAGAACGACTCCATCATAAAGAGAGCGATAAAATACGTCACAAATGGCTGGCCGCCGACTGGACTCGATGGTGACTTGCAACAGCTTTACCACCGTCGGGACTCATTATGCGTCGTAAACGAATGCTTGATGTTTAGAGATAGAGTAGTGGTACCAGAATCCCTAAGATCAAAGGTGCTAAAGCAATTCCACACTGGTCATCCTGGTATAAAACGAATGAAATCCATCGCCAGAAGCTATGCTTATTGGCCCCTCATGGACCAACATATCGTGGATTTAGTAAGCAAGTGCACACAATGTCAGCAAGCAGCTAAGTGTAACGCGAAAATACTACCAGTCCCATGGCCACAGCCTGAGTATCTCTGGTCCAGGATACATGTCGATTTCGCAGGCCCAATTAATGGAATCACCTATCTAGTCGTTGTTGACGCCTTTTCGAAATGGCCAGAAATCGTTCCCGTCATGCCACCAACGACAACCCAAACGATGCAACTGTTGACAGAGATGTTCTCTCGCAATGGGTTACCGGATATAATCGTTTCCGACAACGGTTCGCAATTCACCTCAAGCCAATTTCAAGAATTTTGCAAACGCCTATCGATCAAGCATTTCCGCTCTCCACCTTACCACCCACAGTCAAATGGACAAGCAGAAAGATTTGTGGATACATTCAAGAGAGCTCTAATGAAGTCGAAAGGGGAGGGGACGCCAGTAGAAACACTGCAGAATTTCTTGTTTGTTTACCGAACAACACCTAGTGATATGCTACCACAGCAGAAGTCCCCGGCAGAGATCCTGATGGGAAGGAAATTGAGGACGATCCACAGTCTCATGTGCCCAAGAACCACACCACCACCATCTCAGACCAAATCTCAGAAGCTTCCAGCGTACGAGGTTGGATGCCCTGTGTTCGCTCGAGACTACAGAGCAAATCATGGTCCCTGGATCGAAGCACGTGTGGTCGGAAGACTAGGCCAAGTTATGTACGAGGTAAAGGTGGGAAGAGACACATGGACTAGACACCGAAATCAACTACGTAAGCGGATAGCCCCAGACCACCCATCAACAGGACTAAATCTTCCTCTCGACATCTTGCTTGATACTTTCAACTTACCGGCAACCCTACCACAAGAAAAACCCCAACAACAATCTGGAACACGTCCCAGACGATGGCCTATAAGAGAACGGCGAGCTACAGTCAAGATGCAGGTTGACCCCAGGAAAGCCCGCTATTAAAAAGGGGAGGAGTGTTGGGGACGATAGATCCCCAAACTCATATTTTAAATTTTATCTTATCGATCAAATGTTAGATATTTTTATTGGGGTCAATTGATGAACTATCGATTAAATGCGCAAATAGGTCAATTAATGAACTCATTGATTAATGTTTAAAAATTTTCTATGACAATATCGATTGTAAATAATTGTATAAATACGCTTTGACTTGTATGCTTGATCTGATCTGCCTGCCTGACTTGTTATCTGCTGTTTGTCTGTAGAATACACTTTCTACACCTTACCCAGACTTCTTGATCGAGTTAGCAGAGTTGGGGACAACGGACCAGAATACACTATCGAGATTCTGAATCCTTGATCCGATCGATAAGTCACTGTCTTATAATCGGCTGTCACTTTGAGACATAACAAGAACGAACATGCTGGCTTAAATCAGTTTCTAGACTATATTCTTTAAAAATAGTTTGTGGCTTATTTCTGTTGTTTTGAGTAATTTACTGTGTACATTCGGACGATTTTACTTATGACCGGTGAGATTTTCTGCACTGACGTTTTCGCATTATTCGTAAACCTGTTCGTTGTGAAAACCTTAGTGTTATATGATTATTCCTTGACATTTAAACATTCTCAAAATACTGTTTCAGTTATGTGGAGAGCACCAGATATATAGTTACTTTTGTTATGATCTCATCTGCTAGAATTTAAATGGTTCTTACAAATGATATATTATTAATAACCAACTGGAAACTGTGATTCATAATTTATACATCGAAATGGTCTTATTGTCTAATTACTGAAACGGAAATACCTCACAATATGTTACTTTCTTACCCTTGAATAATCGTTTTTATTCTTGTAAGACACTTTTACAATATAAAATAATAATCTTATTACATGTAAGTTAGCTATTCCCCTTTCAAATTATTCGTAACATAGAAACTGAATGATAATTTCGTTTGAATAGTTATGTAATTTAAGGAAAATACATGGTGATTATAAGAATTATTTGTGTCTAGTGACTCAAGATATACAAAGCATGACGTCAAAGGAAGTATATATATAGTTGGGGGGGGATTGTTTAGGGTGAACTGAGTGCTTTAGTTATTTTATACCGTTTTACAAGATTATAAACAGCTCAGGGGAAACCATGAGATAAAATGAAGTCGTATTACTCCTCCTCGCTTGTCATTGTAACTTTATCTAAATCCAGAAAGAGAAGTAATTGCATAAAAAACTAAATTTCATCCTGCCTATCAATTTAATCACCGAATTATTCCGCACTAGATCCAACCTAATGCCTCCTTCTGAGATTGCAGGCATTGTGGGGCTAAAACCATACGGACTAACTTGGGCGGTCGACTGAGACTGAACTAATTCACCATTTGGTCGTAATCTGGATTCTTCTGGGCTCTCTTTCAGGCACTTAATGAAAGTGATATTAAACTTTGAGCACATTGTCGAAGCAATTTTATCACTGACTGATGTCAACTAAAGGACTGCTGATTATTAAAAAGTACTAGATGGTAGATGTTTATCTTTTTTAAAGTACGTCAGTGTTAAATGTGCACCATTTTCCTGTATCGTAGATACCATTCTACCTTCAACTTACAAGTTGAAAGTTTAATGGTTCAATTTTTCTAATGAAATCAAAAACAATTCATTTACAAATATGCAAATAGTAATTCTAAATCTATTTAATAAACTATGAATAACTTATCCATTGAGATTATTAACAAATCTTAATTGAATACTAATAATATTTGAGATGGTGGAGAAGATTTGTAGCTCATGTGGATGATTTCATTAATAAAAGCTCCACGAGTAAACCATCCAGCTCAAACTACAAAACTCCATCAAAATACTGATAATTTCTTTTAATTATAATTAATTAAAACTATGTTGCATTGTGTATACATAAACCCATAAATTATAAAACTATCATAATTTAAAACCTTAGTACATGACTAACGTGACAGAATTAAATGTAACTAAATTTGATTTTGTATTGATAATTCACTAAAAGAGATTGATTTCATTGTAATTTTACTGATAGATTATATGTATGTGATAGTATAAACATTTAGAATTAAAAGTTTCCTACAGTTCTAATGAGGATAAAGTTAGTTAATCACTAAGAGTTCCATAGATATTCTTCTATATTATATATACATACATATCTATCTATATCTTAAAACATTGTTTCATATTATCTATATGTTTATCTATATCTATCTATCTATTTATTTATTTATTTATTAAAAGTGGTTTTTATTCTTATTTATGCCTAAATATAATCATCATTTTAACTTGACGTCATTTATTCAGTTTAATCTTATCATTTTGTATGACATTTTAGTTTGTATTGTTTATCAAATTTAAGTAGTGTATAGATAAGAAAGCTATAACAATTTCATTGTGTCTTATTATTATTATTTTTTTTTATGTATCCATTAGTGATATTCTTTAATCAAAAATTAGTTTGTTATCTGATGATAAGACAGTAAGTTTAAAAATCGATTTAGATAGATTCATCATTATCATTTAAAGAATTAGTTACATAGATTCTTGAGTTTTATTTGAAAAGAAGTCATAAGTTTGAATTGATGATGATTCCGAAGTTAAGATAAAATGATCTCCATGTGTTATAAGTAGAGATGGATAGTGGCTAGCAATGGAATCTAGGACGTGCGTTTCGTCCTATTTGGGAAGATATACGTAAACAACACCAGGTGAATATGATCTCCATGTAGTCCGTATCTTTTTATACATATATACTTATCAGAATAAACTGTTACTATCATAGATGGCAACAGAAAATATTAGGCATATTCAATATTATTCGAGAGGTGAGAATAGATTCGTGGAATAAAAAGCGAGGTAATTTTGGAACTTAAGATCTAAGGAAAGACAAAGAATGAATGAATTTACGCCATCGCAAATGATTTTGAACCACGTCATTTAACATTTCCAAACACTGGCTATCACAATCTTACAGAACTCGTATAAGCAGCATGGATCTACCTACATAGTAGCTCAGACCAACAATAAATGATTGGATAGACTAATACCACGTTTTGGTTTGGGCGCCCCTAACTTTCTTTCAGTCTATTGTTAGACTAGCTAACATTGAGCGTCACGATAAAGGGTAGTTGGACGTATGTTTTGTGTTGTAGGAGTAGGTTGGAAGAAAGCTAGAGGCGGTCAGACCAAAAGATGGCACAAATCCATGAAGTCACTGACAAGTGGACTGAAGCATGTTGGTGGGTGTAGACTAACTGGTTGGGATCCGCGAGACGACAGCACCCGATGGTTCTACGTTGTTACTGACTGACTACTAAAACCTATCAATCGGTTTGTTATTTGAACTCATGTTATTCTTACTTTTTAATTTGAGTATAAAATTTACCGTATATTATAAAAGTGACATACTTCTATGTAGAAATTCTAATTTCTATAGTTATTCTGTGTATGAAAATGATCGTTCAAAAAGTTAGATCCACGATAAAGGTCAATAACTGTGTGATTAATATAGGAGAGTGAAAAAGCCATGCTCACTTATTTGCTCATTATTGCTTATTCATACTATCTATCTATTCATACTAGTCCTATAAATCAATAAAATTATTATTATATCATGACAATGTTTTAAAAGGGTATTTAATTTCTGCCTAATTATTTTACCGTTTCCATTAATTTACTAGATTAATTTGCTTTTTATACTTTTCGGTCTAGTTTTCTTTGAGATTTTCAGTCATTATTCTTTACATACATAACAATACTGTAACTTACTTTGATACTACTAGATGTAGTTTTATTAATATCATTTGAACTTTTTCTGAATCTTTTATTTCATCTACTTAGTGGATTTTCATATACGTGAAAGTGCTGTTGGAGTTGAGAAGATTTACAACCCAGTCCTAAGATTTTACTAGGTTCGAATGCTTTGAGATGAATGCTTAAATTGTAGATCCATTTCAAAAGATGGAATAGTACCATTATGTTGGTATTTCGCTTAGTTATTGTGGGAATTAAGTTATACTGTGTATAGCGACTTACTGTGGTTTATTTTGAGTACTGATATAAGAAGTACCAAATCGAACTATTTGCAAGTTAAGATTGTAAGAATAAATAGATACGTTCTTATAGTGTGTAATTCTGTTAAGTCATCAGATGTAGTTTAAATCTTACTATTTAGCTTTTATTATTCTTCAAACTATTCACTTCCAATCTTAATTGATTTATCATAGTCATAATTATGATAGTGTAATGATACAGTGAAATTTATCATTACAAGCTTAATTAGCATATATATTTACTTCTGAAGTGACATACATATTTGTATTGTAGTCGTAACTAGTCTAGTTCTATGCTAAGTTCTTTCACAACGTTACTGTTATTTTTAGACTTAAGCTTGAAAAGAGTTTTAAAAAGATCAAGTAATTTGCCTAATCTTAATTTCTGTGGATTTTCTGAACAGAAATGATTACAAACTTTCCTTTCAATCCTTAATAGTTTTAGTTTTTATTACGAGACTTTATATTTTTATGAACTATCAAATATCAATTCATTACAGTTTATCAAATTGATCTTGATCATTTTGATTTACATAGATTTTCTTTGAATTTCTTAAAAGATGTATAAAACCATTAAACCTTTACTAGTGTTAGTAGATAACTCATTGTCATAATTGTCAATATAGGTGTGTGCAAATATGTGGATTCTCAAAAGTTTATATATATATATATATATATGAGAGTTGAAAGCAGTTTAGACTATATAGTTGGCCCATTATATAAAATCATGTATACGCTTATGAAATTTGCGGTAACCAAGGAAGAAAAATTCGGACAGTCTTTAACAGTATGTTGCCACCCAGCAAGACAAGTAAACCTAGAAACGAGTATCGGATGGTCACTCGCAGCTTCTAGGTAGGCGAGAGGGTACTTGTCAAGTATCAAGGCAATATAGAGCGGGAACCAGGTGTTACAGAGTGTAGGATTGGAAATGTACTGTACTTAGTTCGAAGAAATGTCGGGGTGTGTATATGACAAATCAAATTCAAAGGGATGGTAGAACATTGATCAAACAAAGCTGACTCCCGTTTCAAATGCTCGTGGATTCATCTTAAAAAAACCCAAAGGGGAGAACAAATGTAGAAGACATAAAAAACGTAAGGACAAAGCGGCATAACCTTCAAGAATGATGGACAGCAAGAGGAATGCGGTAACCAAGTTTCAGGTTGACCCAAGGAAAACGTTTTACACAAAAGACTTTAAAGAGGAGTGTGTGAACGGCCCAAGGGTTAACTCGGGGAAGCTCTAAGAAGCTCAGAAAGAGCCGAAGATACTTCGTTAATTATCTTTGGAAGGACATTCTAGAATATCTACGTGTAGCTTCCCTATTGGACAAA